TTCTGTTAACAGAAGGGTAGCCTCCTGGTGACAACAGAAATTGGCATTGATATAGGTAAACAGTCCAGTGGATAGAGTGCTGGGCCTGGAAGGCCTCCTTTGCAATCTGGCCTCTGACATTCACTAGCTTTGTTACCCTGGGCAAGTCCCTTAACCTCTGTTTGCCTCACTTTCCTCAACCATGAAATAAGGTTTTTGTGAGGATCCCATGAGACAGTATTTGTAGAAAGCACACTTAGTACTATGCCTGGCACATGGTGATCCCTGTAAAAACGCTTGTTCGTTCCCCCTTCTTCCTTCTCCCTGATGTCCTGATTCTGTCATACTCTCCAGTAGTATCTGCAGTCACATAGAAGTCGCCTTTATTAGTGCCTACTACCCCACTACTCCACCATAAACTCACAGAGGGCAGGAAACTTGTCTTTTTATTCCTCAATCAACAAGCATTCATTACAAACCTGCATCATGCCAGGCACAGGTGCCAGGCAAACAGACAAAGAGGAAACAAAACTTGTCCTCCAGGAGCTGACATCCTAAACTTTGCGTCTCCCCAGCAAAGAGCTCTTCATTAGTACTTGGGTTACGGGTGGGTGTTGCCAAGTTAGGGGAGGAATTTTCATCACTGGCTGCGGGCTGCTTAATGAGATTATCTTCTAGCCCAGCCTTTGCATGACATTGTCCAGATCTCACTGGGCAGCTGCTTGCTGACCTCTCTTTATTGATCAGACATTTTGCTCTTTAATTAATTGTGCCCAGATGGCAAGGTGTGACCATTTGTACTGGAAGAGATGGCTTGTTGCTTGGTCCTATCCTTCGGGTACCAATGGGAAGCACACAGAAGAATGCTGATAAAGCCCAAGGGGGGGGGTTACTTGCAAATGGATCAGTCACTGTGCCTGAAATTTGACGTATTTAGGTCCCGAGTCCTGGAGGGCAGAGTCTGGCCAGCACTGGGCACACTTCACAACAGGCACCCTGCTGTGCTCCACTCCCTCCACTGCCACTGCCCCAAGCTGGGTGACCTAGGTGCTTCGGGCAGAGCATTAGATCAAACTCTGGCCATTGGCCCTGTTAGTTTCATTAAAAAAAAAAAAAAAAGATGTTTCCATCCCTGTTAACTCTTGCTTCTAGGGCAAGTCTCTGCTTTGCAAAGACACCAGTTGTCGATGCTAGAAGCATATTAGCCTCTGTGCCTCCAGGATGTTTGCTTACACAGCCTTGGAGAGAGTCAAGGGCTTAGGAGTGTTGGGTCCCGCTCTCAGGGCAGGTCCTAACTCAGAGCACAGGGAATCTTCTTCGTTCTGACTAGAGTGTTCCTTCAGGGTGGGATAATTCATTGCAACCTAAAGCAACAGAAAGGTAAGTTGGGTTTTGTTATGTAATTAATGGCATATTTTACTATTTGTCAAAGTTCATGCCACGACCAGGCTGCTAGTCTTTTGACTTGAGAACCATCACTGATTCAGCCTTTAATAGAAAAAGAAAAAACTGTTCTGGACTCAGAGAAAGTCAGGGTTTGTCTGATCCCTAAGAATCCCAGGGCATTTTATTAGCTGCCCTCATGGAGGACTTGAGTTTGTTCTGGCAAAGCCCCAGAGAGGCCCCAGGGGGAGCTCTGCCTCTGAAGCCCAGGCTCACTGTTCACAGGCAGCCTAGTAACACAGGGTTAAAGTCAGAGAAAGAGGCATGAAGGTAGTGAGTCTTCCAAGCACTTCCATTCAGCAAACTTCTCCCCCCCATCTCCACAGTGCTAGTGGATTCTTGGGGTGAGGGAGAAGCAGAGAAAGAATATCTAGCTCTGAGTGAGCAGGCTCTCATGAAATAGCAGCACAGCCCCAGGCTTACTCTGTAAAAGTCAAGAGTCTTCCTCTGGCTCAACCCCTGGGCCTGTAGGTAACAGACTGAGAAAAGATGGATACTTCAAATCTTAAAAAAAAAAAAATCAAGAAAGCACTGAGCCCTAAAAATCTTATAAGTGATAGAGGTTCAAACCCTATGCCATTGCCTGGCCAAAGATGAGGCGTGTGAGGAAGGACCTCAAGATGCCAACAAGCGAGGGAATTACCTCTGAGGTTCAAGAGTGTCAGTATCTGAAAAAGCAAAAGAGGGTGTTGAGTGCTGTCCAGTCCTGAGGGCATGTCTGCCTGTGAGGGCTCTAACATGCTGTACTCTGAATCGGCCATTTGGAAGAGGGAGGAGCCAAAGCTTGAGAACAGAAACCTTGATCTTAGCCAAAGCTTCAGTGGGTTTCAGCCTATGTGATACCCCTCTCATCTCCCTCACCTGCTGGAAGCTCCATGTTGACTACGTGGGCTGGCTCAGTTCATGAGGCTGGACCAGTGGTAACTATGGGACAGATGACCTGGGAGTGCCATCAGGGAAGAAGGTCCCAAGTAGGACAAATGGATCCTAGAAGCAAAAACCATTGCAGGCAGTTACATTTCATTCAACTGAAAAGGAAAGGAAGAGAATTGGCTGAAAAAAATTAACCTTGCCTAAAGGAAAGGTGCCAAACAGCCCAGGTCCATTGTCTGGGCACACAAAGATGTGTGTGCATAGCCCTGGGAGATAAAGATGAAGACAGGATCAGCAAAGGGAGAGCAGGAGGCATGATAATTTCTGGAATTCTTTTAAATAATTTTTATTGATATTTTGTTTCTTATGTCTAAAGAGCATCCCTCTTGCTCCCCCTCATGAAGAGCCATCCTATATGACAAAGTGTTTTGTCTTGTTTTTAGAGAGAAAAAAAATCTGCATGATTGGTGAATGCATTGAGAAAGTCCCAAACAGGCACCACATGTGACACCTGTGGGCACCCAGGGCTGTGGGGGATGGGCAGGAGCAGAGCTTCCTCCCATCTCTCTTGTTCAAGTCCAACTTTGTTCCATTTGTTCTGGATTTTTCAGTGTGTGCTTGTTGTAGTTTTTGTGCATGTTGTTTTCTTGGTTCTGCTGAATCCACTCTGCATCAGCTCACATAGCTCTTGCCAGGCTTCTCTGTATTCATCATATGCATCATTTCTTACAGCACAATAATATTCCGTTACATTCATGGACTGCAATTTGTTTAGCCATTCCCCAAAAGATGGGCATCATCTTTGTTTCCAATTCTTAACTATCACAAAAAGTGCTGCTATAAATATTTTGGACTTCATGGGGACTTTTTTTTTTCTTATGGATGGTTTCTTTGAGGTATAAGCCCTTTCTGGAAGAGTTTAATCATTACTTGTCTTTTTACTTGTTTTTAACCAACATCCCTCATTCAGGCACAGGCTGGCAGGGAGGCTGGTTCTGCTAGGCAGGACATGACTGTCCAGAGCACACAACACAGACAGCACGGGGACACCAGGGGAAGCTGGGATGGGGGGGGAAGGAGAGAAGGGAGAAGAGGAAGACGAGTAGAAGGAGAGGGTGAGGATGAGGAGGGGAGGAAAGAGAGGAAGAAGAAGAGTAGGGGCAGGAGGAGGAACCAGGAGAGGTGATTCTCAGACCTTTTGTTAACTGAGAATAAGAGAGAAGCTCCTGTCAGTGGCTCAGGATTCTGGGACCACTTCCTTCCTACTTGGAAGTTTTTCCTGACCCTTCCCTCCTCTCCCTTAGCTGATGGGAAGCTTCAGCTGTCTCACTCTGCCGGTGGGTCTTATCACGTCTCCCCACTCCAGCAACTCAGAGACTACACTGTACAGTTAAGACCAGAGGCCAGACTGCCTTGGTGGAGGGAGTGTCTTGACTGAGAGTTCCTTCCTTTCACCATGAAATTTAGGTCTGGACCCCAGGGCTTGTGTGGAGGTGGTGATTGTTTCGTTCTGTCTTAGCACTCCCAGGATTTAAGGCAGTGCCCAGGCACAGAGTGGGCGCTTAGTCAACGAGGGAGGGAAGAAGGAAGGAAGGAAGGAAGGAAGGAAGGAAGGAAGGAAGGAAGGAAGGAAGGAAGGAAGGAAGGAAGGAAGGAAGGAAGGAAGGAAGGAAAGTAGGTAGATAGGTAGGAAGGAAGGAAGGAAGGAAAGTAGGTAGATAGGTAGGAAGGAAGGAAGGAAGGAAGGAAGAAAGGAAAGTAGGTAGATAGGTAGATAGGTAGGAAGGAAGGAAGGAAGGAAGGAAGGAAGGAAGGAAGGAAGGAAGGAAGGAAGGAAGGAAGGAAGGAAGGAAGGAAGGAAGGAAGGAAGGAAAAGAGAGAGTGAAGGGCAGAGGGCTTCCTGAGTAACCTAGGCGAATCCAGAAGCACACTAGAGACATCACCCACCCTTTCACCCGTTGCCTAGATCCGGCACTGTAGGGAAGACGACCCCTGGGGTAACAAAGCGACATTAAGCACGCCCTCCTCGCAAGTGTGCTGGTAGCCCTCCCCTCACCCTCCCTGCCGGGGAAGGAAAGACATTGAAGAATGAAGGCTGGTGCTGTCGGGGAGCCGCTGCCTCCGGGGAGAGGGCAGGGCGAAGGCTGAGGAGGTTTCGCAGTGACTGCCCAAGAAGGGAGCATCGTCTAAGGCTACCTTCTAGGGGGCGCAGAGATACTGGCAGGTTTCCTTGTCACCCTCAAGCCTAGGCGCCTTGCCCCTCCACTCCACTCCTGGGGAGAGGTGGGCTTGGTCAGAGGTACCAAGCCCCGTCCGGCTGCCTCGGGAGCCGGGCCAAGTTGCCTGAGTCACGGGTTGGGTGGGTTGAGATGCGTGATGGCCAGGATCCGAGGGGAACAGAAGACCTGGGGGCCTACGGGGGCGAGGAGCAGAAGGAAGGGGAGCTCTTATTCCCCCTGACCGTCCCACCGACAAGTAAGCCGAGGATTGGCCCTCGGGGCTCCAACTCCCCCGACATCGCGTCACTAGGAGCGCAATTGGCTCCGGATTTGACGGACACTCGCTGGGCCGGGGGAGGAATAGGGAGGGCGGGGGGGGGGGAGTTGCAGCGGCAACTAGGCGGGAACTCATTGAATATGGATCAGAAAGTGCAGTGGGGAGAGCGTCACGTGGCTCCGCGGCCAGGATAAATAGGGGCGGGGCGGGCGCTGAATACCCCCCGAGCTCCCCAGTACCTGTCCGTCGGTCCGGGCTCTGAAACGGAGGCTGGGCTCCACCAGCGAGCCGGGAGGAAGAGAGGGAGGCAGAAAAAGCTCGCCGCCGCCCCGAGGAGGTAAGAGTCCTTCGGCACCCCGCTGCCCAAGGTGCAGGTGCCTGGCAGGGACCCTTAGGGTAGTTCTCAGGGCAAAGTCTCAGGGAAGCTATGGAGGGACGGACGGACAGAATAGGATGCGGGAGGTCCGGCGATCAGAGTTCCAAACACCGAGGGTGAAGCGGAAAGCCTGGGGGACTTTCGCTTCAGGGGACGCAGGTTTGAGTCCCCCTGCTTCTCTCCATGCTACCTCAGTTTTCCCCATGCATAATGGGGGATTGGACTAGGTGGCGTCCAAGGTCTCTTCCAGCCCTGGAGTAATTCTGGAGTGAGTGTGTGTGTGTGTGTGTGTGTGCGTGTGTGTGTGCGCGCGCGCGTGTGTGCGTGTGTGTGTGTGCGTGTGTGTGTGTGTGTGTGTGTGTGTGCGCGTGTGTGCGTGTTGTAGTCCTCGTAGAACTCCGGACGTTGTGCTCTTCCTCCCCAGTGTTTGAGAGAGGCCTCAGGTCTGCCCTCTTTCTCCTTTGGGATCCAGGCTCCGCAGACACCGGCAAGGTGTTCTGCCGTGGGCCAGGATCTTTTCCATTTGATAGACAGAGCTCGCTCCCGCTCCCACATTCCCAACATGAAAATCCTCGTGGCTCTGGCTGTGCTCTTCCTCGCGTCCGCTCAGGCTTTTGCCGAAGAAATGGGCGCCAACGACGATCTAAACTACTGGGCCGACTGGTCGGACAGCGACCAGATCAAGGTGAGCAGGGGTGCCCACTGGGCTCCTTCCAGCCAGACTGGGGTGCTGGGGATAGCGCTCCGATTCTGCCCCGACGGAAGCTAACAGGGCGCAGCCTAGGATGGCGTCCCGCCGAATATGCGCCCTCAACCCTCCAGCCTAGACGGGCGACCTAGGGTCGGGGCAGGGGCAGGCACCGGCCCAGGCCCAGAGATTCCCCTCTCCTAGCCTCTGCAGTAGGTTAGCCATCCACCCTCTCGCCCCAGTGATCAATGCTCCCCACGGGCCCGAAGGGAGGCAAGTCGAATAAGAGAATGGAAAAGGAGCGGCGGAGGCTGGGCACCTATGCCTCAGCTAAATTAGAGCGCTTCTGGGGAGGGGTGGGGGTTGGGAGGCTTGATAGACGCAACGAAGCCGAGAGCACAGCCCGAAGGAGACCCTGGCTGTTGTCAGTGGGCTAAGGCAGATGTAGAGCACCTTTGTGCCAGTGTATGTGAGTGTGTGTGCACCTGAGTGTGTGATGGATTGCTGCACAGAAGTGTGTGTGTGTGTGTGTGTGTGTGTGTGTGAGAGAGAGAGAGAGAGAGAGAGAGAGAGAGAGAGAGAGAGAGAGAGAAAGGGGGGAACGGAAGAGAAAGGGGCAGAGAGGGGGTGGAGAAGGGGAGGAGGGAGGAAGAGAGAAGAGTGGGGAGGATGGAGGGAGGGGAAGGGAAGAAGAGAGGATAAAGGAGAGAGAGAGAGAAAGAGAGAGATGGAGGGAGGAAAGGAGATGGAGGAAGGGAATCAGAGAGAGAGAGTGCCGGTACTCACAGACGAGGTGCAGCCAGAAGAGGGGTAACTTGTAGCAATATTCAAAGCTATGCAGTTGGGTGCAATACCTAGGTCTCTGCCTTCTTAGAAGTCTGGTAGCGGAAGAGAGAGCTCATGGGCTGATGGACGTGTCCTCTGGGTCTGTCTAGCCCTGGCTCCCTCTCTGGCTCCCCTGCCATGCAGACACCTCCTACAGTGATCAGTAGAACAGTAAAACAGCAACAGGCTTCGTGGGGCAGGGGCTCAGGCCTCAGGTCCAATGCCCTGGGGTCACTCTGTGGCTAATTATGCTGCCATACAAATCCCTAGAACAGAGGCTCTTCTAGGGCCTACATAGATGTTCCTCTCCTCCCTCCATACCTCAACTCCCACTCAAAAAGAAGAAAAGGGGGGAGATTCCTTTTTCCCAGGTATAGGGAGGGGACTTCTGGAGACAGATGAGGGAGGGGGTGCAGGATAGTGAGGCTCTTTCACCAGACCAACCTGAGCTGGCCACACAGTCCAGGGCTGTTCCCCTTGGGTGCATGAAATTGCAGTGTAGCACCTTCCCCCTGAGTACTAGGGCAAATGATATGTTGGCACAGCTTGGACTTGGGGGAGCTAAGGAAAAAAGCCCCTTCCTCCTCCTCCTCCTCCTCTTCTCCTCTGTTTTCCTCTCACTGCTTCTCCTCTCCTCTTTCCTTTCCATTTCCCTCCACTCTTCTCCATTTCTCTCCTATTCCCTCATCTCTCCTTTCTTCTTTCCTCATCTTCCCCCCCTCCTTTTCTGTCATCTGCTCCCTAAATCCAACCCAGGCCAGGGCCCTCTTCCCAGTGAACCCTGTAGTTCTGGTCCCCAGGATTAAGGAAGGTGCAAACCCCACCCCCTTCCATTTTGCTCCAGTGATGCAGCAGCTGTCTCTGTCTCTCTGTCTCTCTGTCTGTCTGTCTGTCTGTCTCTGTCTATTCCACTGCCCTCCCACACACGCGCGCACACACACACACACACTCACTCCCCCCCAGGAAGAGCTCTCCGAGCCCTTTGAGCATTTCTTGCAGAGAATTGCCAGGAGACCCAAGCCTCAGCAGTTCTTTGGGTTGATGGGCAAAAGGGATGCTGGTAAGTACCCAAGCCCCTCTCCTAGAGCTGCCCCAAAGAGAAGTCTGGGACCCTCAGCCTTCCCTCCTCCCTTAGACTGGGGGGAGGGGTGGAGCTCTGTCCTGATATTCTCCCCATTTCTTACTTGATTCTGAAAAGAAACAAACAGGAGCCAGCCCCTCTCCGATGGCCTCTTACATGCACTCTTCCAACACCCCACAGCCTGAAATCCCCAGGATAGGAGACACTTTATCTTGTGAGTGGCCTCCAGATCCCTGGGAGGGAGGGGGGTGGGGCAGAGTGCTGCAGGGCAGCACCCATCACAGACAAAATCTTTGGAGTGAAGATTGGCTGCCAGTCATGGACAATAAGGCTCAGCTGCCCATTGTATCACATCATAGCTCCAGCCTCCATTTCCTTGATGAAATTCATAGTATCCTTCCTACTTCTACTTGGTTAACATCAATTCATTTTTTGTCAGATACCTCAGTTGAAAAGCAAGTGGGCATGTTAAAGGCTCTCTATGGTAAACATCTCCCCACCCCCTCCCTGACTCCCAGCATTATACTCTGGCTCTCACTCCTGTGTGCACATTAGCTGATGAGTGGAAATCAGACCTGGGCAACTGAATCCTCCTGTAGCCATTAATTTCTTTCTGTTGGGGAGGGGGATGAGGGGGGAATTGCTTGAGATTAAAAATCTTCATTATTCAGCTTTCATTACTAATATTTGGGTTGGCTGGAAATATCCATTGTGATACATTCTCCAGCCTCATGGGGCTGATCTAATTGTTGTCATCTTCCCTAAACCTGTTTTCTGATACTGTGCCAAGCTGTCCAGGTAGCTGTCCAGGTAGCTGTCCAGGCAGCTGACCAGGGTGGGTTGTTCTTTGAACCCTCTGAGCCTACTTGTGCTCACTAATCTCTTTTCTTTTGTTCCCCTAGGGCATGGCCAAATATCTCATAAAAGTAAGTTTCAATGTCATTTCAATATTTGTCAAACATGATTATGAGCCAGTTTGTATCTCATTCATTTACCAGCTTTTCTTGTTTGGGGGCATGTAGCTACTCATGAGCCTGCTGGTCTGGAGAGGACACAGTTGGCAAATGGCTTCATCCAGAATGAGTTTTCTGGAAGGGCAGTGTCTGGGATCCTTTAGGCCAGGTTTTCTGATACTTTTTAGTGATCAGAGAGAGGATTGTCTTTAGGAACCCTGAGGACAGGGCTCTAGGAGAACCTCAACATGCTTATCAATGGGTCATGCCTCAGAGATTCTAAGTTCTAGGAAGTCAGAGACCTAAACTCTGTCTCTCTTCCAGCCCCTGATATGGTGCTCTGCATACAGACACATTTGGGTTTGTACAATCTTGTTATCTGAGGGGAATTCCTCAGAGACTTCAGCTATCACTTTAGAACTGTCATCCTGGTGGCTTCTGACCAATCCCTTGGCTCAAAAAACATGATCAGAAATTGGTGAATTCCAAAAGTTCAAGTGGGTATCTGGATGTAAAATGCTTAATCCCAGTTATTCTGAAGGGATGAAATTTGGTCAAGCCCTGTGCCTGTGGGAAACCCCACCCAGGACACAGGGAAATGCCTCCCAGGTCCAAGGGAGAGGGCAGAGGTTGAAGCCTTCCTTCATAGGCACTGCTCCTCAAAGGGCCACCACCCCTCTTGGTTAGTCAGGCCCCTGCATTTCCAGGGGATTCCCAACCAAAAGTCTTTGGAACCCCCAAATGTAGCTGAGCATCTAGAAACCTCTGGCCTCAGGGAGTTGAGATAGGTCTACATACCTTAGCTATTGTTGTTGATAAGGGGTGTCTGAGCTAAATTTGAGCTAAAGATAAAACAGGGCTTTCAAGCTGAAAGGGACCTTTAAGGTCAGCCAGACCAGCCTCCCCCTTTTACAATGAGAAAACTGAGGCCCAGAGAGCTGAGATTTGCCCAAGGTCTCCTAACTAGTAGATGGCAGAGCTGGAATGTGAAGCCAGGTCATTCAGCTCCAAAGGCTTATGTTTCAACAAGGGAAGATCTATGTTCCGCTGACTAGGTCAGAATTTCTGTCATTAGGCATTTTCTCACCACATGAGCATTGACAGACTAATCTAATGTCACCAATAAGAAGTTTCACCAAAATGAAAATGAAGTGCTGTTGTTTCTGAAGCCCAGGGAGATACAAAATTATCTTTTCAAAGGATTTGGGCTTCCAAGTGGCAGTTAATGGAGACTTAGATTGGTTGGAAAAGAGCTTTGTCAGTCTAACATCTGGGCTTTATGCTCCTTCTCCAAAAGGCATCTGAGGCCTTCCTAGCATGATCTAGCACATTCAATAGATTAACCCCTGGAGGCTTCTGCTTCTTTTATAAACTGCCCCCTTCCAGGGTTCACTGGTTTTCACTCCACTGTTGTCTCCTGGGCAGTCACATTCCCAAAAGCTGCCTTGGTGAATGTTAAGAATAAGCAACAGTCAAGTCTAAAGCAAAGAGGTTTAGAAATAAATGTATGCATGCAACCCTCCCCTTCCAGCCCATTACCACACCCTGATAGGCTGGAGGGAGGAGGGGGGCAGGGCTGAGACCCTTTCTACTAAGGCAGTATCGACCTCTTCCTGTGAGCCGGGAGGAGATTCTGCCCAGCCCTTAGAACTTGGCCCTTCACCTGCCTGTCTCCTGGACAGACACAGCTTCCAGCTTGCAGCTACCCACCTGCTCAGGGACAATCCTAAACAGACAGCAGGACCTGGTCCTTGCAAGTCCTCAGTGCTCAATTAGGGAAAGCAAGAGATAGCTGGATTCTCTCCCATAGACCTAACCTAGACAGAAAACCTCCCTAACCTGATTCAGTTAGGAGCAATTTAAAATTTTCATAAGAAAAAAATTAATTCTGTCCCCAAGTAAAAAGTATTTGGTGCTCCTTAGACATACTCTGGAACATCTATGGGCTTCTCTGTTTACCTGCCCATGGGCTTACCCTGCAGGAAAGAGCCATGTTCACTTCAGTGACTGCCCCAATGGAGACAAGTTTGATTAGGAGACAGACTGTCTTTTCTTACTTTTTCTAATCATAAGAATTCTCTGCATATTTCAACACCCCAACATGTATTTTTTCAGGGCATAAAACAGATTCCTTTGTTGGACTCATGGGCAAAAGGTCTTTAACTTCTGGTATGTATAACTCCCAACTAAAACTCGAGATAGCATCTTCAGTGGTAACTGCTTTGCCTGCCCACAACCCCCTTATCCAAGTATTGAAAGGAGTAAGAAACCAAAGAATTTGCTTAAATGGACCTAAGACTCAGTGTAACCATGGGCTGCTCATGTATGGTGACCCAAACAGAGCAGAGAGCGATGAGGGTCCTTCCTTCTCAAAGGCAGAACCCTCCTAATATATGTCTTTCTGCTAATCTGTTCCTGCTTTTTCTTTAGCGGGAAAAGTAAGCTCCAGGAAATCTCACTGTTGCATGAAAGCAATCCAGGGTTTCAAGATCAAAATTCAAGGTTGAGTTTCATTTGCTATCAAATAGCCTCCCAAGATGTTAGCTAGCTAGAAGCTCCCTCCTTATGCCTTTCCATCAATATTCCTGATAATAATGACTACGATGATAACATGAGAAGAGGGAGAATGACAAATCTATCCCCCTTCTAGCCACAGACTGTCCATATTTGTTCAAGCTTAAAAGGGAGCTTGAGAAGAGGTCAGTTTGTCCATTTCCTGGCCTTCGGGCTCCATTAGACCAAGGAGAATAGGGCCCCATTTTCAGGATCCCAAGAGGTCCAACAACCTTTAGAAGTCTCTTCTCACACTGTACAAATTTCTGATGGCCATTGTAGCCCAACCTTCTTTCTTCCATGTTCAGTAAGGGCTAAGGAAGCTGGACATCTGACTTTCTGAAACCCTTCATATGTTTGGACAGTTCCATTGTTGACTTTCATGTCGGGATCCTTACACCTCGGTTAAGTAGCCTCTTCCTCTCTCCATAGGGGATAGCACTGTTGTTCTCCTACAAATCCTTCCCAAATTGCACTTGAATTTCTTAAGTTGCTCCTAATTACAGAAGGATGTATGAGCCCAGGTGTCTCTCTTTAAAGGCAATCTCTACAGTGTAAAATGGGAAGAGTCTTAGATTATCTCAAACTCTTGGAATAGTCTGTATGAACCATTATAATGCCCTGAAAAACTGAGGTAACTTGGGGACTGAAATGTTGTAGGTATAGTCAATGAGACAATCAAATAATTAAGGTGGAAATGTTTGAGGAGTTGGGGTTTTGGGAAGTTGTTTTGGTTTGGTTTGGGGTTTGTGTTTTTATTTTTTGTTGGATTTTTATTGCCCTGAAGTAACTAGATAAATAAATATGGCTTCAATTTGGCTGTGGATAATTAATCTCCATGTATCATGGCAAATAGGAAGACCCAGTCATAGAAAAATGCTTTCATGCCCACAAAAATTATCTGTGGTGACTTGGTCCCAATTAGCCAGGCTACTCTTGATTGCTTTTCTAATTTGTCTTCCTTTTGCAACTACCATTCCAGGATGCCAAGGCCCACAGACAGGGCCTGAGGCCACACTGTAAGGGGTGGGCATATTTTTAGGTAGATTTGTGAAGCAACCACAGACTTCCAATCCTAGATTTTGGTAAGGAATCAAATGAATGGGCTTTGGTGCAGCTTTTCCTAACCATGACCCAGAGTGTCAGACTTGTCTCTGAAAGTCAAGAGACAGGAGCCTGAGGCTAGCTTTCCTGCCCTCCTCAATGGCCCCAGGCTCAGTGGCAGAGTCAGAAATGGAATCTGCATTGGCTTCAGAAAGTGGAGGTCAAGAACCAGCCTTCCAACACTAAGGAAAGTAATCAGCAAATGTCTTGTTCACTTTAAATCTTTTGAGTAACTAGACAGGGCTTTTAAATGAAAGAACACATGGGAGGATCATACCTTCGACCATTCTAAGCCATGCTGAATTAAAATGAGTTTGTTTTAATTTGTAAGCAATAGAAGCACGATAGTGTGCCATCATGTTCCTGTGATGAAACGTGCTATCCACCTCCAGATGGGGAGCTAATGGCCTCCCTAGAGCAGAATGAAGCATGTTCACTTCTCTCTCTCTCTGTCTCTCTTCTCCCTCTCCTCTCTCTGTCTCTCTCTTCTCTCTCTCTCCCCCTCTTTCTCTGTCTCTGTGTCTGTCTGTCTGTCTGTCTGTCTGTCTCTCTCTCTCTCTCTCTCTCTCTCTGTCTATGTCTCTCCCTCTCTCCCTCTCTCTGGAATTGATTTTGCATGATTGTCTATATTTGTAATGGATTATCTTTCTCTTGCTTCTCAATAGGTGAGGGAAGGAAGACAGAAAGGAAGAGGGAAAGAATTCAGAAGTAAAAATAAAATTGAATTAGAAAAATAGTAATTCACACCCCGATTGGGCCCTGGTTTTTGCTTTGTTTTAGTCTTGGTCACCCCGACTATGCTTGGAGAATATCTTTCATGGCTATTTAGCGTAATTTTTCACAAATTGTTTAATGATGGGCTTGGGTTATATCCCCTTATCTAAAATCAAATAGAGAACTAAGTCACTGATCTAGCTAATTTCCATGCCCTCCCCCCAACCTCTCAGGATTTAATTATCTGTATATTTTAATGTGACAGTTCAGATTTGTTCTAATAATTTTCTTGGCTCCCAATGAGGTGTGTGTGTGCATGGGTTACCTCAGAGTTTCTTCCTTAATCATAGGTTTGGGAGCAAGTTTTCCACAAATAATCACTGAGAAACCCCTCCTCTCAATACTGATCATTCTTCATTCACAACCCTTGGTCTGGTTGATGAGGCATTGGTGACCTGAGTCCCAAGACAAACAGTAGCTGACCCTTCCTGGCAGCTAAGAGCAGAGCCCCAGGCCAGCTCCCCCAGGATGGGGTAACCATAGTCAGGAGACACACCCCCCCAGCTTCAGTCATGTCTGTGCTTACTCTAACACAGTTTTTGATGGAAAAAAATGTTTTCTAGAGCTGGTTACAGAAGTGGAAACAATCACCTGCCAAGGGTCTTCTTTTACTTACAAAACACCTGCCCGAAGGGAGCAAGGATGATTTTCTTCCTTAGAGCAACCTGAACAATTGGCCAGAGCCTCTGTGGTCATTTCCCTTTTTTAACATAGACTTTTATTGATATCTATTGTTTTTACATCATTTTTAACTGCAAGACAATGACATCTAAGGAGAGAGGTGAACATTTAAAAAGGAAGAGGGAAGGAAGGAAGGAGTTTGGAGGGGCAGAGAAAGGAAGGAAAGGGAGGGACAAAGGAAGGAAGAAGGAAGGGAGGCAGAAAACCCAGGTGCTTGCTGGCTCTCTGCAGAGCTCTTTGGGAACACCATTAGCTCTTGGAAGCCATCAAACATCATGAGGTGACTCTTGGGCTGGCCTCTTCCAGAAAGCGGAGGACACAATGAACCCTTCCACCAAACCTAGGGCCATTTGATTACAAGACAGTGCCTTCTTTAAAGCCAGCCTCTTGTCAGGGGAGAAGATGCCCTTTGAGTGACAGGGTAGCAAGCTTAGCCTTTGAGCCCCAGTGCTCATCCTGCTGATGGTCTTGCTTGGGCCTCTTGGCATCAGCCATGGCTGGGCCTCAGCTCAGGCATGAGAAGCAATCTCATCCCATACTAAGAAAAGAAGTCCATGCTTATCAGGTAAGTGACCAGAAACTCTGAAGGAATAGTGTTCAAGCCAGGTACAAGAGGCAAGAAGATAGGAGAAAAGGAAAAGTTGATATCAAAGACTTAAGAAATAGCTAACATTGAAGAACATTTCTTAATAGGTTGGGGTGAGGGGCAGTATTTCCTTAGCCCTTCATTTGATTGCCCATTAAGTACTCCATGGACCACACGAGATCCCTTCTCTCCTTCCAGGGTCCTCGGAATGGAGCACAGCACAGAACTATGAGAGAAGGCGCAAATGAGGCATCACCTATGGGCCTTCCATCAACGTCATTGGCTCTGATGGCCCACAATGATGAGGCATCCGTGAAGATCCTCACTAGCCAGAATGATTATTTATTTAATAACACTTGTGGTTTTGAGTTGTAAATCTAATCAGACAGTTATTTTTCATATTGTGACAATGACCCCCATTGGATAAGTGTTTTCTAGCTCTAAGCTGCATCCCTTGGAGATGGAAGCCCCTGGTATTTCACAACCAAGCACATTATTGGCTATGAACTTGTGCTTCTGGTGATGATTTGTTCATCCAGGAAAATCAATGTTTTGGTTAATGCAGTAATGTCCTCTTTGCAACTAATGTAATGCAAATCCTTTCCACTGTATCTCCATAGTTACGATATTCTGTAATGGGGGGATCAAAATATATTCGTATCGTCACAGCACGTCTCATGTTTTGTGACTAAATATATGAGACAGAAAGAGAGAGGGAGGGGAAGATGGCTGGAAGGAGGGAGACAGAGAGAAGGAGAAAGGGCATTCACTGGCATGCAGGGCTTGGAGGGGATTCCTAGAGCTTCATTCATTTCATGGTAGGAAGTTTTATTGTTGTCCAATGTTTTCCATTAAAAATACCACCCAGCAGCACTCTGGACAATTTGCTTCATCCTTTTTTTGTCCAGGGCAATAATGTGATCATTTTAAACCAGGCTCTACCAGCAGGCAGGGAATGGTGGTGTCAGGCTTGTCTCAGTAGCCACTGGGGCACTCAAGCCCCTAGCCATCATTTCCTGGGGAAATGACAATTTACAGAGGAGGAAACTGAGGAAGCCCAACCAGGGGAGCCTTCTTGAACACACAGGCAGGAAGTAGCAGAACTACTTGAATCCCGACTCAGATTCCAGTCAAAGGCTCTTTGCCTTGGAAGTGGAGCAGAGCATGGGATGGAGCCTCCCAAGGGTTCCAAATCTGGTGGAAGAGACACATGCATCAGTCTCATCTGCAGGTAAATGAGCAGCCTGTTCTCAGGGCACATCCCAGACCCCAGTGCTCATTCCAGACTGGACCAGCTGGGCCTTTGTTCCACCTGAGTCATGACTCCTCAAACCCACAAAATGGGTTTTCAGCATCAATTATTAAAGCATTCCATGAAACTCTGACACCTTCCTAGAAGTGATGATCTTTACTCCCTTGAGTGGGTGAACCTAAAAAGTTCTGTGTCCTCAAAAATCCTCCCTTCAGCCATGGTTCTAGTAGGCAAGAGAGGACCCCACCCCACCCCAAATGCAGAGACTCCACAGGAAATATCTTGACTCCCCGGTGCATTGCCTTGAATGGCCCTTGAGATTAGGGCTGGAGGCAGAGGAACCCAATAGATTAAAAGGCACAGTGGTGTAGGCTTAGTGAGCCGACTGGTGGATACCCAGCTGTCTACAATCCTCTTGGTGGTGCAATGGAAAGATCTCCAGGCCTGGAGTCTGGAAGACCTGAGTTCAAATCCAGTCTCAGACACTTCCTAGCAGTGTGACTCTGGCCAACTCATGTCACCCCCATTTGCCTCAGTTTCCTCATCTGTAAAATGGGGATAATACTAGCACCTACCTCCCAGGGTTTGTAAGGACCAAAGGAGATGATATTTTCAAAGTGTTTAGTAGAGTGCTTGGCACACAGTAGGTACTTAATAAATGCTTATTCTTTCCACCTCTCTCCTGTACTCCTCCGACCTTGGCTGGTACACCCAGCTAAGGGGCATTCCATGCAGAACAGAACATGGGTTACTCACTGAAAGTAAATACTCCATAAAGGACCACAGGAACAAAGACCATCTCATAGCTTGAGAAACACAAGCAGGGGTGAGGAACCTATGGCCTCTAGGCCACATTGGCCTTCTAAACCCTTAAGTTTAGCCTTTTGATTGAATCCAAGTTTTACAGAACAAACCTTTGGATTCAGCCAGAAGCCTGAAGGTTCCCCAACCCCAAACGGAAGACATTCCCCTTTAAAAACAGACCAGGGTCAGATTAAGAAACATAAATGTGCAGTTACTAAACCCAACAAATAATAGACATGTCCTCCACCCTCTGCTGCCCTCTTCTAGGTCACTGAGATACTGAGATAAAGAGTTTGGAGACTGGGGAGGGAGAAGAAAGGTCAGAATGTTCCAGAGACTTTCTATTCTGGAAAGTGGGAAGCAGGTGATTTTGCAAAGGGAACAGGTGGACTTTCTTGGGGCAACACCTCCATCTTGTGGCCAGTTAGGTCACTGCTCTTAAAGACTTTAAACCACATTGTGTTTTCACAACCATTGGCATAAATGGGATTGGCTCTTCTTGTTTATGCTAAATTAAGCCCAAGGATAGACTGGCCCCATTCATCAGAGGTTCCCGCTCCTTGGCCTGGTAATCACAAAGACCAGAATAACAGGTAAAGAGGAATGTGAATGGTCATTTTAGCACCAAACATAATCAACACTAACTTTGACAGCACATGTCAAGGTTTAAAAGCATTTCCCTGTGCCTCATGACAACCCAGAAAGGTAGGAAAAGTAGGTGCTACCATCACCATTTTACATATGAGAAAGCTGAGGCTCACAGTGTAAAAAGTAATTTCCTCATGGTCACACTGTCTTCCCCGGGCCTCTCTCAATCATGGACCTTCTCAAGGGTACCTCAACCTTCCTGGCATTTCTCTTCAAGCACCCTTTCAAAAGTACCACGCAAGGGCATCCACGATGTTCCTTTTACTAGATTTGACCAGAGACATACAGATCACCTGGACCAAAAGAAGGAAGGGATGAGGAATCTGGGAAAGAGATCACAAGAGTGGCACAGTGGCATGACGGACAGATTCCACCTCTCTCCCTCTCTACTCTTCTGTCTGTCTGTCTGCCCCTCTCTCCTTCTGTTCCCCTCCTATCTCCCTCCATCTCTGTCTGTCCCTCTCAACCCCCTTCTCCCTTTCCCTCTGTGTGTGTGTGTGTGTGTGTGTGTGTGTGTATGTGTCTGTCTCCCTCCCTTCCCTCCTCCTTTCTCAAGTAATTATCAGTGCCATAATTCCGTCCTTCAAAATGTGAAGAAACCAATAAGGGAAGAGTCTAACCTGGATTTGACTGTCACTAATGGAGATGACACATTGCTGGGATAGAAATGATGGGAAATGGGGGGGGGGTGTCCACTCCACTGGGTGGTTGATGATAAAGAAGAAAACTGGCCTTCACCCTAGATTTTGGAAAGGCAGATTTCAGTAGATTCGGAGGATAAGTAGGATCCCATTTTAAAAAACGCTTCAAGGGAAATTAGCCTGGGGAAGACAGGAGATGCTGAAGGAAGAGATTCCAACCAGGAGGAAAATGCGATTTGTCTGAAGAGACTGGTGTGGACACCCAGGGAGCTCACAAATCAGCCTCAATTATCAAAGAAATGCACAGAAGGCGAAAGCAAGGCTGAGGAACACAAAGTGGATCTAAGAGAACATGGTGGTCTTGCAACAAGTGACATCAGGAATGCTGAAGCCCAGGATAGCTGTAAGCTAAGAACACAAAGGAGGCTTTTTCAGAAGGGGAACCCAGAAGAGGCAGGACCCTCGTTTGGGGTGTGTGGCACCCGACAGTGGGGTGAGATCAGAGCTGCTCCCTTCCTATTTTGCTGTTTTCTCTTTATGCTGGATGCAACAAAACCAAAATAAGCTCCAGTGGGATGGCAGGAGAGTAGAGAAGAACTCCATCCTTGGGTCCTGGGAGAACTGGCCGCCATGATGTCTGAGCCACAGTCCAGGATCTCTGAGGTACCACGAGGCTGGAGAAGGGCAAAAGTGGCCCAGATTTTGAAAGGAAAAGAGCAGCCTGCAGACTCTAGGTTTGAGCACGTTCCTGGAGGCAGAGAAACCCAATAGATTAAAAGGCACAGTGGTGTAGGCTTAGTGAGCTGACTGGTGGATACCCAGCTGTCTACAATCCTCTTGGTGGTGCAATGGAAAGATCTCCAGGCCTGGAGCCTGGAAGACCTGATTTCAAATCCTCAGATACTTCCTAGCTGTGTGACTCTGGCCAATTCATGTCACCCCCATTTGCCTCAGTTTCCTCATCTGTAAAATGGGGATAATACTAGCACCTACCTCCCAGGATGAGGACCAGGCCACAATTCCTACCCTCATGCACCGAAAGTATCATTGTAAGGGTAGGGCTGAACCACTCCACCCCATTTTAGCCTGGATACCCTAAGAGGTGAAAACAGTTCAATCACCTACAGGCCCTAGACTAGGCACTCAAATGGGTGAGGACACTTAGCTGTGTCCCAGGGGTCAGCTCTCAATTACCAGGATGACAAGAGCCACCTCCAGAGAGCAGGGCTTTCCTGTACCCCACTGCACTGCCTACCTGGGGAGAGAGAGGAGAGGCTTCAGCCAGGTCTCCATCCTTCTCTTTTTGCTAAAGGAGGACTTTTTGAGCTTGAAAGGGTTCGGCAGATTTTAGACCTCTCATTTCCCACCCCCAGCTCAGCTGGTGGCAGAGTCTGCTCTGGGAGCCAAGGACGGATGGGTACAGATTGGACATGCTTAATGGCATCTTCTTGAGCCCTCCATAAAGGGGCAGAAGGATATCCAGGGACCAGGAGATGTGGGCTACCCTTTGGCCACTCTCTAAGCTCCAACCCCCTCTCCCCAGGACTCGGTATGTAGGGTGAATCTAACAGCCTTGCCTGGCCCAGGAGACTGTCACAGACCCCTGATGCTTGGGCAGATCTTGGAGTCGATCACTACAGCACTCCCAACATTCGGATTCAGCCCCTCATTACTTCTTGAGGTTCGAGACATACAATCACATCACTAATAAAGGGCTGGGTTGCTTCCCAGCAACTCACCATCCCCTCCTCAAAGAGCAGGGTTTCATGAGCCCACTGAGGCTCAGTGAAAAGTGGAAACACAGTGAAGATCATTAGCTTCCTTGCTATTAATAAATAAAGAATTCTTTATAATGAAATGCAGACATGCTTTGCCTTTACTTGCTGGATCTGCGACACTGGAAAAACACGTAGTGCTAATTCTAATGGGGTGGGGGGAGTCTTTTGCTAGCGATTGCTCAGATATTCATCTCAAGTCAGCAGCCTCCATTTTAAAAACTAACCTATCCTTGAACACGGTTCATTGGGGCCCTTCCTGCCGTCTCACTTTGCCCCACAGCCCCATCCTCCGCTGTCACCCCCACAACCCCTGCACAAGCAAGCATTTCTCTCTATTGAGAATGCCTGACCAGACTTCCTTGGAGGAGAAGCACTGGCCTGGGTCAGGGGGAGTGTCCATGTTTCCGACTCGTTGCCCTGATTCTCTTCCTTCCGCAGGTGTGCTTGGGAGGGGGTTCATATTCCTTTCTTGTAAACAATTCCTGGATCCTGGAAACTGTGTAAGACCCGTCCTCTGGAGCTTTCTCTCCAGGTAATGAAGTA